AACGACTGAGCATCTGAAAAAAATCATGTCGCAAAATTCTTTTCTCGAGAGGTTGAGAGAAAATCGAGGGAACGCCATCTTGGAATCCTTTCCCGGCGTTTAATTTCGATATACAGTCGACGCTCGTTATAACGAACCCCTTTATAACGAATTTTCTTTACTACGAATATTTTTCCAGTTCCCAGCCGTTTGCTCATTCACATGCATGTTGAAAAGTTTCTCTATAACGAATCGTTCGGTTTTACGAAGTCATTTTTTCGTCCCAAGGAACAAAACTGTTCCGTATTACGAAGTTCTTCGGCTATTTTCCAGTCAGAGGCCGAATGTTGAGCCTGAAACTTTTGAAACATTGAGTGCTCTGCAGACCACGGCTCAAAGAGTCATCTAGAAAGGAGAGCGGTAGACAACCATTTGGAGCTTTGTTTCGTTGCTGACTTCCGATTTTAATCATACATAATTTATGTACTCATTTAGGTATATAACTCTTGAGAGTTGGATTTTTGCGATATTGCATGCACTTAGATCTTCGCACTTATTTTATGAATGGACAACTACTTTTTTTTTTACACTAAGTGACCTTTTGAAGTGATATTGACATAAGTTCAACAGATCTCTCTTTTTATTCCAGCGAAATTCCCGAAAGCAAAATTCCCTTTAACGAATTTTCCTTATAACGGATTTTTTTGGTCCGTCCCTTCGAGTTCGTTCATCGAGCGTCGGCTGTATTAATGGAGATTCCAGAGATAACGCGGTGCGGGAAGGTGCCTGCGACCGTGGTGAGTCGGGACGAGAGGGGTCGCGCTCGTCGGGAGCATCGCCTTCAATCTTTTTCCCGCGACTTAATCACGTCACGGTTTGCAGGCATTTCTTTTCGGAAATCCTTGGAACGATAAAAGACGTCGACGGGAGGCGTCATTACCCTATCCGCATACGAAAAGATGGGTAACGCCTACCTTCCTGCCGATGCGCCAGAGTCTCAGAAGTGCGCGTGCTTCTCGTTTATCTGAAAATGCATGAAAGACGAATAGCATACACTGTAGAGCGTTCTGCGTAGAATGTCCAGGACTGTGAAAGTACAGGTCGAGGGGCGTTTCACGTAACGGCCGAACTTTCTCATGCGTGGTCGTGGCCGGGGCGGGGTTCTAGGAGTTCCACTTTCATAAATCGGCTGCTATCTGCCATTTTAATCCTTTCACCGGCATAGGCGTCTCCTTTTTATCTGTCCTCTTGATGAAACTTTGTGCGACACGCCTAATCAAGAATCGATCGCCTTGAATATATTTTATCTTTTTCCATGTGTAGAAACCGAGAGTACAGACCTTGCTCATATTAGTAGACCGAAGTTAAAAAATAGACATATTGCGAGTTTGACCAATGGTAACTAATACTTAAAAACTCTGGTTACTTTTCACTTTATAGTATTTTAAACGTATCATTTAGATGGATTTCCAGCTATATATTTACTTGTTTCCTGGAATTTTTATTATTATTTCGAAATAAGCCAGAGCCATGTCGAGAAAAAAAAAAGACCCTATGGAACGGGTGAGCCAGTGATACAAAATACCTGATTTGTGCAAGAAAAGTGAGTCAAATGACAAGAAACACATCCAAGATGCGTCCACACGGGGAAAGTGTAGTCTCCAATACTACTTCACCAATTTCTATCATTTTTATAGTTAATTTGCCTGAATGGAAATGGTATTGAAAAGCATTGAATTTCATGGGGTATGCGGCCTCAAACCCCGTTAACTTTTAAAAATTCAATTCTCATGAATTTCGTGTTCTAGACTTATGGGGAAAGCACAAGAAATATCAGCAGCCGAAACTGCGGAAATATGAGCATAGCTTCCGTTGATTTTTCTCATTTTTTTTGCTTGAGTCTGGTTATACGAGTAAGGACTGTAATTTGAGAGATTCATCAGTAAGAACAACATCTAAGTAGAAGACCGCGTGAGCCTTGCTATTTTGCTCGAGTTAGCACTTGATAGAATGACAACGATCCGATGATCCTTGATTTAAGTGATGAAGACAGCAGAAAAATTGAAAGTGACTATTGAAAATACAGTGCGTTCTTGCTAAATTCCGTGAAAATTCCCTGCCATTTAAATTTCCGTCTGCCAGTGAAAGGGTTAATGTCAAACTTAATGAAAGGTGATCGATGAAGCCTAGTACAAATAGAATGGAGAAGAAAATTTTTTTTAGAAAGCCCGTGAAAATATCTGCAGCCATTTCAGTGCAGTAGGCAATAGTTTCAGAGGTTCCCTTGGAACTCCTCCCGGCTAGAATGAGGTTTTAGTGGACCTATTTTATTTCTTGATGCTGCTCGAGTTTGCTCGAAGTAAGAGTATACCGGCATCGCGATACAACATTTGGAGATCACGGTTTAAAAATCTTATAAATTGCAAATGAATTCGTCAAACCAATTGCACTGCGCATGTTATATCAATTGGGCATCCAAAGAGGCGAGTGTATGCACTCGTGTATCCAACGAATAAATGCCGCGAGGAACATGGAGCTCCATTAAAGCAAGTATGAATTCCTTCGCAAATGAGGGTACTTCCGTGGATAATGAGGCAGAGGCGATTGGAGGTGATACAATGGAACGGTCAGCCGATTCCCACGACTATTCATTCCCTTTCCGCTCTCCACTTCTTTCTTTGGGGTCGCGTCCGATAAAGAACTCGGTTTATCCAGATCAGAAAGTTGCAATCCAACGACATTCATCTGCGATACACCGCCGTTTCTTTCAGAGTTCAAAGGAATCTTTTTTTTTTTAGAAAAAAAATGAAAGGCATCCGTATGCACATTGGCTAATGGGAAGAACACTGAAAACGCGCTTCATCAAAGGTTTCACAATTCAATCCTTACAGCAGGGGAAATTCTGGAACAAAGAAAATACTGGAGAGTAGAGAAATTGAATCAAATAGAACCAAGGTACGGATAGTACCTTGGTTAGATAGATGGTATCCTGCGGGCACTTCCAAGATATCATGTTCTGAATCTTCATGGTTCGAACTGCTTTTGAGTCACCTTTGGATTGAGAGTCTTCGACATTCCAGGACACATTTTTACAGTATCTCAAGCTCGTATGTGGTATACGAGGTGTGGCTATTAAGTTTCCAGACTTTATTTTTGTATTTTTTACTTTTAAACTTACAAATTAATCACATTTATCGCCTTCAAAGTACTCCCCTCCAGAACGTATACACTTATCCCAACGATGCTGCAATTGCTGGAAACAGCGGTGGAAGGCTTCTTTCGGGATGTCTTTCAGAGCCTGCATCACATTTGTTTGAATGTCTTCAATGCTTTGAAATCGATGGCCTTTCAAAAAATTTTTGAGTTTGGGAAATAGCCAAAAGTCACTGGGGGCTAAATCGGGCGAATACGGCGGGTGATCCATTTCAGTGATCCGTTTGGCGGCCAAAAACTCTCGGACAGACAGGGCTGTGTGAGCCGGCGCGTTATCGTGATGCAAGATCCACGAGTTCTCCTTCCACAGATCGCCCCTTTTCCTCCTCACAGCCTCACGCAACCTCTTCAAAACGTTCTGGTACAACATCTGGTTGACTGTTTGTCCTTCTGG